TTTATAAGTTAAATATTCAGATGTACTTTCACCTTTCGCCTTTCGGTTGACAGGATGATTAACTCCAATTTCAACATTCTTTATTATTAATTTTAGTGATTTTTCTATTGGCAAAATGTATACTTTTATTCACAGTTCTATATTTCAACATTGCATTCCCTACTCTGGAATCAACTTACTCACTGTCTGTATAGATACAACTTTTCCAACTAGAAATATCACTAAAATGATATTGTTCAAAAATGTAATTGGAATTAGTCATTCTGTCAACTGAAAGGCTCAGAGACTGAAGCTGTGTGGTTTATAAAAGCAGAAGGAGGAACTAGATTATTATTGCCTGCCGTCGATGTGATAAATAGAATTTTTGTAATTTTGATGGTCTTAATGATTTATTATCTTTAAATTTTAAGCTTTATCTCCATTTTAGTTTAAAATACTCTTCCAAAATTGTATAATAGTGCAACATTGTCAGAAAATAGTTTCTATTCAAAGTAGAGTGGTAAGTGAAAGTTGTGTGTTGCACGCACAAGATTTTTATATTTGTCGATGTTTCGGCCCAAAGATCAGGGCTGGTCAAGCGAAGAGATGGCACAAGATATATTATACTACAATATAATTTATTGTGAAAATATTTTAATAAAGCAATTGAATATATAACTCATTTTTACTTTCACATACCTATATATGTAATATATAGTGAGGAAAAGTATAGCGATCGTAAAAATTTTTAAATCTGAGCTTTCAACGAAAATGCACGTTTTGAGGTCCCCTGAGTCTAAATAACCAAGTCACTCAAAATGGTCTGAATATCTGTGTGTATGTGGTAAGTCTAGCTCAAAAACGAAACTATGCCTTATATATGCCTTAGATGTGACAGCAACGTTTTCATTAAAATCGACTAATCGGAAGTGGCGGCACTTTATATCAACGGTTATACACATTTTTACAACTTTCTCAAAAACGGCTCCAACGATAGCCGACTACCTCCTGCAGTGCCACATGCCACGCCCTGATGAAGACCTGCAAGGTGGGTCGAAACGTCGGCGTAATTAAAAATACTATTTTTAAAAAATTTAGTATTAATTTGACCGCACCCTCCTCCACCAATTCCTTCTCATATTATATCACGGTCAACCATCTCTACATCATACTTTTAATTTGGTATATTTTAAATAATTAACTATCTCTCATTAATAATTACGGGAAAATGATGCCGAAAAATGCTAAATATAACTTTCGAAAGAACTTGATGTTTGAAAAATGGTAGAAAAAAGAGAAAAAATTTATTCAGGGCGAAAATAAATTTCCGGAAGTACTAGTGAGAGAGTATACTTATAATATATCGTTGGGAAGTAGAAAATTTCAGAAAAAAACAATATGTAATATAAAATGTCGTAGAAAGTAATGGAGTGTGGCGAAAAATTATAAATAATAATTTGTAAAAAATGTGAGGAAAAGATGACATTCTGACAGCAGCTAAAGAAAGTATAAGTTCTTCATATTATAATAATGGATAGATCGGAGTGATAGTTTTTTGATCGAGCTAATTTCAAAAACTACATTTCATATATAAAAATTTATTTTTGTGTTAAGTAAACCGTTTATTGATAACGGCGCTAAGCTATATGGCATTACGACACGATCCATAGCATCAAGCAGTAATCATAAACGACAGTTTATCTGAAACGAAGGACACGGGTGCTTCGAATATTACCGAAAGGTGTTGAACTGTGATGTGGTAGGTGAGATACGATATCGTACTTATCAGTATCGTAGTTATAACGTTAATCTTTATATAATTTTCCTATTTATATTATTTCTAATATAATTATTTTATTTCTATTCTTACGAAAATATTTAAATGTTGAGGAAAATAATTGATTATTAAAAATAAAATAAATTGTTATTGCTATTAATCGAAAAAGTTTATGGGTCCATCATTTAAGGAAAAATTTATGAAATGATAAATTAGATTTATATTTAGCCAATATCTGAAAATGTATTAATTCAAATTTTTCGACAAACTCCGAACATTCCTAAAACTTACATACTTTCTCATTATCCGTTCCTACTTTACTGATAGAAACTTTAGATCACAAAATAAATAAATCACAAAAATATTCATCCCTCTTTTCCCAGTCGGCTGGTGTTCATCAAGGTAGTATCCTAGTTTCTATTCTTTATACAGTTTATACTGCTGACATCCCAACTTATCCCAAAACTGTCATCACCAGGTATCCCGATGACACATGTATCTTATCAGTAAATTATGACCCATCTATTGCATCACAAATACTTCAATCACACATGGTTTCAAATTTCAAGAATGGTTTCAAAACTGGAGAATTAAAATAAATTTCAATAAATCCCACCAAATTACCTTTACGTCGTAAACCTATGACTTCCTGCCTACATCTCCTGTTCTCCACTTATCCCTGTTGAACAAATCCGTTACCCAGGATTCCACCTGAACAAACGTCTAACTTGTAATCCTCAAATCAGACTGAAACGATAAGAAACCGCTCGACATTTCCGACTACTTCAACACTTACTGGACAAACGCTCTAAACTTCCAATTAATTACAAAAGACTCATATACATGACTATAATAAGGCCTATTTGGACTTTCGTGATTGAGCTATGGGACTCCACTAAACCATCGAATTCCTCTGGTATCCAATCCTTACAATCCAAAATCCCCCCTAAATCCTCAATGCTCCCTACTTTGTTGCAAATAACATTATCCATAATGACCTTAAAGCTTCATTTGTTTCAGATTTGGCCCAATCCAGATACCACCTATCGTTCCATAATAAACTTCAGAATCAGCCCAACCCTTTCGTTTCTAACCTTGTTTTCTCTTCAATTCCTGATAACTCTTCAAGGAGTCTGAAAAAGAGATTGTCCCGCGATCTCCTAATGTAGACATTATTACAGTGCTACCATTGGATAGTTCCTCAACAAGTGTTTTCACGTCATTATATCCATTTGTAAAAATTTAGTAGATGTTTTTCTTTAATACAGTTGTAAATGTCATTAAAAAACAAAAGATATATTTTTCGAATGTTGTTAGGTGAAGTAACTAAACGTCATCAAAATTATATCAATAATGTTTTTCTGTATCATTTTATAAATAACGGAAAAGGCGAGGAAATAGGTAGGAGAGCTATGGGAAGGAAGGTTGAACGATGGGAATTCAGTGCGGACAGCAATGTTTGTCCACATGAATTCGTGGTTTTGGAACTCCAGTTTTGATGATTGGTGTTTAAATCTGCACCTAGAATAAGATAATGTCCTGAGTTATTGAGGAGGATACTGAACTGTATATTAGATACGGATTGCCTAGGAGGCAATATGGCAAGTGTAAGTGAATAGCAGCAAGTCTTACATTACAGCGGTGGCTAATAGGAAATCATGAATAGGCTTTAAGAATAGATGATGGGAAAGAGGTTGATGAACAATGACAGCAGTATTGGCATGTGCTCTCCTGTAAGGTTGGTCGGTTCGGTATGCCAAGTATTGCGGTATTTTGAAAAACTGTTTAGAGGTTAGTCAAGTTCACATCAACGATTTTGTCAAGTAATAAGGCTTAGAAAGTTAGTTGGTTGGTATGATTTTTAATATCATTTGCATTTGAAAGAAGAATGGATGCTGATCCCTTTCAAGTTATTTAAGGATTTTTTTAAGAAGGGACGAGGTGCAATACTTAATTAATAAGACGTGATATCAGTGGAGTAACAAGAGGTTTGAATACAGAGGAACGATGTTAATAAACTGATATGATCCGTGGTATTTTATGAAGGGATAATATGAGAATTTGATGTTTAAGTTGAGGATTAGGTATATTTTGAATAATAGGATGATGAGTTTGAGCCTGAGGATGTTGTGGTATATGTAAGGACGGGGCCTCATAACTATTGCTTTTATTCCACCTTTGACTAATTGTGCCAAGAACACCGCTGAGTCCACGATTTATAAAATTCTCTTCTTGATCAGATTATTTCAACTTTGATCCGGAGTACAGAACTTACTTCAAACTTACGTGGAGTAGCAAAAAATTAATCCTATCTTTCCCGGAGTAAACTGACCTCATCACTTGTTTACCTGCGGTTTGGCATCGAAGGGCTATGCATTCCTGGATGTAATGCCGACCTTCTATCATGGAGGGCCGTTAGTTTAATACTATTAGTTTCGAAGATACACACTTCAAAAATTAAAAAAAAAATGTATTTTTTAGAAAACGTGAAAAGCAGATTTATTATGGATGGATAACAGTTATCTTACATACTTATTACTTGTAGCTACAAAAAAGTGCGAGGAAAGTTGGGGGGTTTATTACAGACTTGGATTAAGCATTTCAAACAACATAAGGAACGAAAATAATTAGACAACAAGACATCTTGCAACAAGAACGTACGGGATTACGGCAAAGGGCTGAGGAGGAGCCAGGAAGATGGAAGAGGCTGGTGGAGGAGGACTCACTTCGGGAGTGGAACGAGCGGTGGGTGAGGAGCGAAAAGGGTTCTACCCTCAGGAAGTATTTCCCCACCGTCAGTTCCAGAATGGAGGCGAAGTGGGTGAGACCTGACTACTGGACGTCTCAGATCCTTACGGGGCACGGGGGTTTCAGAGACAAGCTGAACAAGCATGGGAAGAACATCAACCCCTTGTGCCCCACTTGTGGGATTCCGGACACGGCGGAGCATGTAGTCCTGAGCTGCGAAAAGATGGCTGGGCACAGAGCTTGGCTATCAAGGATGACAGGGCTATATGCGATGGAAGAGGCGGACTTACCGAGGCTGATGAGCGAGGACTTCTACCCCTACTTCACCGAGTACATCAGGAGATGGAAGGAGGCGGTGGGCCCGGAGCACTTCACCCTTGGGAGAGGACGCCCGCCGGAAGCCGTAGAGGAAGCGACGGTCAAAGAAATGGTTCTATTAATAATTCAGTCTTGCCAAATTAAACTGAAATTATGGAATTAATAAATACCCTCAGACTCGTGAGAAATCTTGAATAATTTTACAAATGCTATAATTCATATTGTTCATAAATCTTCAGAATCTTAATTTTCAAAGGCAATTATTTTGTTGTCTAATAGCTGAAGTGAAAGTCGATACCTCAATTACTCCTATCAGAGGAAAGGTTACACTGCATAGTATTGCGGAAGGTTATTCTTATGTTTCTGGGAGTTTAGATTTGAGTTTCCTGTTTTCTGGTTTTGACGTGTAATGGCGGTTAATTTATTGAAAGTTTCAAGTGGTTGGTGTGACAAAGATCAGGATGGAGAATTATCAAAGCAGGTATAATTAGAAAACATTTTATCTAATTTTTATCCTGTATTAACCTGTTGCAGAATTTTGATTAGTTAAATTCCACTTTATTTTAGCTCCACAATGTGCACTTACCACAACTTGTGCCTAAGAAAGAAACTATCTCTTTGCTATCAGATGAGGAAAAGGAAGATACAATCTCTAAAGCAGAGTTGTCTCTGTTAGCCAAAATTTCAAGAACCAAATTAGTAACAACCAAAGCTGAAATTGAAATACAAAGACAAGATCCTTTTTCTCCTTTGCACTCTGTTAAATCTTTTGAGGCTTTAAAATTGTAAGCAAAAAATATATGATATTTATAATTTAATTATTTATTTGGTACTAATTCAAAAGTGATCCGCCTGGACGATGCTTGGCCAAAATCATTTCGATCACAATTGCACTTGAAGTGCCGGCAATAACTGAGTTAGTAAGATCATGGAGTTGACACCTCCAGATTTTAATTACTCGTGATTAAAATAAGCATCATTTTTGTTCAGCACATTCACTTCTTCTTTGCAATGTATATAATGATAACATTGTACAAGTATCACTCCACTTTGACAAGTGTGCCAAGATCTCATAATCACACTATAAATGGAATTCTGAGGATTGACAATATATTCACAGTATAACCTCCTTTTATTTAGATTATTATTTATTATTTCACCAATGTGACATTTGTGCAATGCTTATATAACTAACAGTGTGAACTGAACTATTAATTACTCATGATTCAAAAAGGCATAATTTTCACTCGAATTCTTCATCTTTTCCTACTAATAAATATATTTAATAGTATGAACTAAATTATTCATAAGATGAAGGGTTTATTGCATGCCAGTTATTGATCATCAATAGAAACTTAATTTTTATGTTTCTGGCCGAAGAATAATATTAATAACAACCCCGTGTGGGTTTTTTTTTTCTTTTTTTAATGCATAATCACCACAATCAACTATAATTGTAAAGTTAAAAAACTAACCATGTTTAAAGTAATAAAGACTACAGTTTAATAATTAACAACATTAAAAAATGTCAGATTACTACCACAACTTGATTTGGTGGAAAACCATGGTCAACAACGATTTTTACTATATTTGTCAAAAATTGAGATATATTTCCATAAATGACACTTCATTTGTGAAATGAGCTTTCTGGGAGAAAAAATCGTGCAATGAAAAATGTAACTTTTTCTTTGAATGTTTTACTAACTTTCATATTTTGTAAATAATTTAATAAAGTTTACTTCTCTACAGAACTCTAGCCTAGAGAAATATTATCGATATATTATTTTTGTAAAATATATTAATAAATGAAAAATGTTTGTTAAACTGTAGTATACAAAATCTAATGATAATTTATACACATTTTGAACTTAGGACCTACCCCGTTCTGTAAAATTTGAAGTTTCAATTTTAGTTTTTAAATTAAAATAATTTTAAAAAGTAATATAGACCCATGTTTACAAACAGTTGAATGTTTGTTTTAATCCAAAGAATAATTTTTACTTAATTATTGAAGGAGTTTAGACGACTGTTCTACATTTCAAGGGTGATAAATAGTGAAGACACGGTTATTTTAAGATTTTTATTGTAGCCAATATTTCAATCCATGTATGCAGGATTGAATGTGTATATTAAGAGTAGCTTAATATATGTGCTGATGGACGGTGTTGAGACTGTCGGTATGTCCCTGGCCTGAGGTATCGAAGCTCTATTTTTAAAACTTTGAAGAGGATCCCATTGTTAACTTATAAAAAGAAAAATACCGGGACTGAAACTTCAATAAACACAGAGGAAATGAACATTTAGTAGTTTATTGAATAATTAATAAGTGACCTTATTCCCAATTAAATGGTTATGTTTAAATTTAATACTCAGAAGTCGATTAAAGAAAAGTTGTAAATATATATATATCTTGTATTTTTAGTTTTATTATTTTAACTTTATACATTGCTATCGTTAGCTAAATGTTTATTTGTAATTTTTTTTTTCTTTTAGTATTTTTATTTATTTATTTTTCAGCATTATTTCCCAGTATTTTGTTTATGTTTATACATAATGTTGTTAATTCAGTTTTATTTTATGTTAAATATTTATGCACATACATCCAGTTTATTTGCCATTTTTTTATTTATATTTACCCATTTTTATCTTATTATTGTGCTAGTTCAGATATTTTATTCTTCAATGTTTATGTTATAAATAATCTCTTTTAAATTTTAAGTTAGCTTAATTTAATTTAGGCAATTCCTTTTTTTTTTTTTTATCATCATACCATTCTCACACAAATTTAAGTTGTATGCAATAACTTAATTGTTCTCAATATTTGACTCTATTCCGTGTGTGTTTGTATATATATATATGTGCTATGAAAAAAAAATCTTATTTTCATGTAAACAAGTATTATAGCTTTTATTCTCCTTTTTTTTATGTTGTTTTCTTTAATTTTTATAGAAAAAAAAAAGCATAGCATAGATAAAATATAATCATAACATTCATACATACAATATGCGAAAATATATATATATATATATTTTATTTCTGCCTCCTCTACCTCTTCTCTTCCCTCCTCTTCCAACTATGCTCCTGAGTCATCATTTAATGATGATGACTTTTATTTCTCCTACATTTCCCCGACTGACTTACTAACCGCAGTAATGAAATCCCACACCAATTCCATAAGACCAGATGGCATTCCTGTCAAATTGATAAAATTATGTCTCCCCGAAATCCTCCCAGTTCTCCTTTTCATTTACAATTTCTCCCTACAGAACTCAATATTCCCTTCCTCTTGGAAAAAAGCCATTGTACTCCCTTTAAATAAAAAGCCTAATCCATCCTCTCCCGAAGACTTTCGCCCAATCTCAATTCTTTCCAATCTCTCAAAACCCCTAGAAAGATTGGTGCAATCCCAAGTTTCCAATTTCCTAAAAAAGTCTAACCAACTCGATCCTCTCCAATCTGGTTTCTGTCCCGGCTACTCCACACAATCCGCCTAAATCAAAATTACTAATGATGTTCAGACTGCAATAGATAATAAACAACTAACTGTCCTTATACTTCTTGACTTCTCTAAAGCCTTTGATTCCATTAACCATCCCATCCTTTTCAACAAACTAAAATCACTCTCCTTCTCCAATAGCTCCATCTCTTGGTTCCAATCTTTCCTATCACAACGCACCCAAGCAGTCTCCATTCCTAATCAACCACTATCTGCCTACCTGCCTTTATCCTCTGGAGTCGCCCAAGAATCTAGCATATCTCCTCTCCTTTTTAGTTCCTATATCAATGACCTCCATGACTCAATTCTCCATTGTTCCCACCACCTTTATGCAGACGATTCTCAAATATACCTATCCTTTTCTCCCCCTGAGCTATTGGTAGCATTTACTAAGATCCAAGCAGACCTAGATCGAATCTGTGCCTGGGCAAAATTAAACGGATTAAGGTTAAATGCTTCAAAAACTCAGGCCATTGTCATTGGTTCCAAGCCCCTCCTTAGATCCTATACGGACTTTCCCATACTAAACCTTGGTGACCAGCCAATCTCCTTCTACTCCTCTGTAAAAAATTTAGGACTATTTATTGATCAAACCCTCTCCTGGAGTCACCATATTTCTCACATCTCCCGACGGACAGTCTCTACCCTCAAACTATTCCATTGCTTCCGCCATCTCCTACCTCAACATACGCGCAGACTCCTCGTTTCCTCTCTCATCTTCCCCCACTTTGACTACTGCTGTGTGGTGTATGATGGACTCTCGGTGGAGCTCCGCGACAGACTGAAAAGAATAATGAACAGTTGCGTGAGATTTGTAATTGGTGCCCCGAGATACTACCATGTCTCTCACCATTACACTGAGTTAGAGTGGCTCTTCCCCTCCATTCGAAGACAATATTTCCTAGGTACATTCCTCTATCATATCATCAACAATCATCGTCCTTCCTACGCCTACAACCTTCTCCAATTCAAGTCCTCAGTCCACTCCCTCTCCACAAGATCTCGACCTTCCGACCTTTACATTCCTTCTCACAGATCTGCCTCGTTCCAAAACTCCTTTATTGCACGTTCTGTTAGTTTCTGGAATTCCCTTCCAATCAAAATTCGACATTCTTCATCCTTATCTACATTCAAAACCCTCCTATTCCAATTCCTGTCCCAAAAACAGTCAGGCACCAGCTAATCTTTTATGTAAAATTACACATTATATATAAGACCATATTCACATATAGCTCATGACCTGAATACTTATTATAGATTCGACTTTCTTTTTCTCTTTTTTTTTTTTTTTTCTGTTTCAACAGAAACAGATTTTACTGTTAAGAAGAATATACATTTATTTTTTCTGTATTTTTTATTTTTTCTAAAAGGGTTTATTTATGTTTTAACATCGTAAATAGTTTTAAGTATCTTAGTATGGTTTCAAGAGTTTTTTATATAGATTTTTATATTTTATTTTGTATATAGCATGTATAACCAATATTTTTTTTCTTTTCTTTTCTTTAATGACCTATCATTATCTTAATTTGTTATGTTTGTTTTTATCTGGCCAGATGTAAAATTTTAATTTCTGTACTTTTTTGTTATTCTGAAGGGACCTCGTCCCAGAATAAAATTATTTTTCTATTCTATTCTATATATTTTTTTTTTCATTTTCAATTTCTCATATATTCATTTAAAAATATCATTTTTCTTATTTCCGTCAAAGTAGGACATGTGTGTAGGTGGTCTGAATCCATTCTTCCTTGATTACATAGTTTACATCTAGGATCCTCAGCCGCACCTATCTTGTGAAAATGACTTAATAGATAGTCGTGACCAGTGGCCAGGCAGATGCAGACTACTGCATCTCTTCTTGATAGGTCATATGGGATCGGGTTTTTCATCAAACATCTATAACGTCTCTCTTCCAACTTGTATCTGTATATTTTTTTATTTCCTCCTTCACTACCATCCTCACCATTCGGCAAATTTAATCATAAGATTTTGGATAGACTGGTTGAGGCAATTCTGCTCCTCTCTTGGCAAGACTATCTGTTTTCTCATTTCTTGGAATCCTGCAATGGCTCGAAATTCACTGTGGGACCACATCGGTGCCTCAGTGTTAGGTCATAGAGGAGGGATTTGCACTCGACAAACATTCATTCATGTTCATAACGGCGAGAATAGCTACTTGAGAGTCGATGAAGAGAACAGCGCACTGAACTTGCCTTCCAGATAGTGTTTTTAAGGCTATGAGGATCGCCGCTCTCATCTTCAAAATTTGTACCATCCTTACCCACTGCATCACTGAATTGAAACTCCCTCAAGTAAACCCTGCCTCAGCATTATTGACGATTGATTCAGCTGATCCATCCGTATAAATGTGAATGTAGGGTACTTTTGAGCTATACTTTCTAGTGCTATGGGTTTAGCTCATAATTTGGTGTTTCTTTTTTAACCACCTCATCGAGGAGTCGCAGCTCTACCTTGCTTATGTGATTATGGAATTTGGAACTGTGCCTGTATAAATGGTCCCCTTTCTTCACAGTCAAGCTCTCTTTCTTCATGCAAAACCCTTCGCCTTTAGCATGAATGACACTTGTGTTTTTAGCCGTTGAGTTGGGATTTTGTATTTTTTTCAAAACTCTGGGTCCATTCTTCTCATCCAGTCGGGAAAGCACATCGCACCTCGCTCATGCCGTTTTGATAGGTGGTCTGCAGTTCCATAGCTGCAACAGGAGTTGAGCTTGGTGCACCCAAAATTAAATGCGGTGCTTCGTTCTGCTGGCTGTCCAGTCCTTTCAGGGATGCATCTGCCGCAGTACACGTGACCTCAGAACCAGTACTGGTTCGGGCTGTAGTTTGGAGACCCTTGGTCTATAACAGTTTACCTTAGCTCCGAGTAAAGCATAGAAAGTTTTTTTTTTTTTTTTTGTTGATAAATATTACAATCTGTCTCAATAAAGGACATTTATAATAGAGTTCTGAGAGCACATTCACACCATATTTACAAATTAAAAAAAATAAATAAATAAAAAAAATAAGCTAACTTCAAATAATATAAAGCTACAAAAGAACAAAATAAAATATCATAGTGAGCTGGATGGTATTAAAGTAAACTGGTGGACAGGAATTGAAGGGTGAAGGTTATATGTTTACATTTGGATTCATTGACTTTGATGCGCCATTTCTTGCACCAGTGTTCAATCAAGAATAGGTGCCGCTGCAGGTTTCTGGACGCTGTTTCAGGATCTGAGTTAGAAGATAGGATCGCAGTGTCATCAGCGAAAGTTGCCAGGAGTATATCGGGATGGACTGGAATGTCAGCGGTATAGATGATGTAAAGGATGGGACCCAAGACACTGCCTTGAAGAACTCCAGCCTCAATTGAATAACAGTCGGAAAATTCTGTACCACAGCGAACTCGAAAGGAGCGGTCGGAGAGGTAGGATTGGAGTATTAGAAATAAGGACTGTGAAGATGGGATTTGAGCTTGAAGAGCAGTTCGGCGTGCCACACCCAGTCAAAAGCTTGCGCTATGTCCAGAAATGCATTCGAGCAAAACTGCTTGTTTTCTAGGGCTGAGGATATGTGTCAACAACTCGGAGTCCTTGTTGGACAGTAGAATGTTGGGAATGGAATCCGAATTGATGGGTAGGGATTTTATGGGAGTCTATTATGGGTAGGATTCTTTTCATCTTTTCAGGAGGATCTTTTCAAAAATTTTTGAAAGAATTGGGAGTAAGCTAATTGGTCTATAGGATGATGTATTATTGGGAGGCTTGCCTGGTTTCAGGAAAAGGATGATGGTGGAATGTTTCCGTAGGAGAGGGAAGTGGATAGTTCGGAGGATACAATTGTATATATAGGTTAGAAATATGATGGCTTTGGATGGTAGTTGTCATAGGATCTGCGGGGTTAGAAGGTCGTATCCAGGAGATTTACGAGGAGTGATTTTGCGTAATAGGTATTTGACCTCAGAGGGATTAACTGCTTTAGGTGGTAAGGAGAGTGGGATAGGTGAAGAAAGGAATTCTTCTACTTTTACTGTGTGGGTAGGATGAGATTCCGGATGAGGAGCGAAAGTATAGGAAAGGTGTTTGGCAAACTCCTCTGTTTTATCTTCATCAGATGCTGCCCAGGAGCCATCAACTCGTCGAAGAGGGTGGGTAATATGATGGGATTTGAGGATTTTTCTGGTGATATTCCAAAGGGAATTGTCATGAGCAGAGAGTGTGGTGAGGTAGGAATTGAATGATTGGGATCTGAAGGTGGCTAATTCTTGTTTTAATTTTTTACAGTGATAATTTTAGGAGTGGCGGTCTGCTGGATGTCTGGTACGTTGCCATAATAATCTGGCACGGCATTTTATGTGGATTAGGTCAAGGAGGTGTTGAGGTAAATTAGGTTTCTTAAGAATTTTTGAAGAGTGATCAGGGGAGGAAGCAGAGCAGTCCAGACTGCTTCTTGAATTTTGGTAGTGAAGGAATGTACTGCATTGTCCAGGTCTTCAGGAGTTTTCAGGGTTACTCTGAGGTCAATTTTATCGGAGAGGATTTGATGAAAGAGTTTCCAGTTAACTGGGCCTCTGATGAAGGATGGTGGAGAGGGTTTAGGAATAGGAGCTAATGATACTTGGAATATTAATGGGCTGTGGTCTGAGGAAAGCTCATCAAGATGGGCAAGGGAATGGTGGAGGGTACCTAAACCTTTGTGGATAAAGAAATCGAGGATATCGAAATTACGGTTAGGGTCAGTGGACCAGTAGGTAGGTGAATTGGGAGGAAGGAGGGTAAAACATTGCGAATTGAGTGCAGACAGCAATGTTCGACCACGAGAATTCGTGGTTCTTGAACCCCATTGTTGATGCTTGGCGTTTAAGTCTGCACCCAGGATGAAGTGGTTTCCTAAGGAATTTTGGAGAGAGGTGAAGTGGACATTGGATATGGATCGGTTAGGAGGGCAATATGCTGGTTAGGAGGGCAATACACAATAGAAAGCAATATGATACAATAGAAAGTTAAATACAATTATGTAATAATGCTGAATTAGTAAAAAAAAATAGTGTCCTCCTCCATTACTTCTAAGCCTCCGAGGCTTGTGAATTTTACTTAAATTAAGTATTATTACTAATATATATTATTTCTTCTAGAAAACCAAACCTCCTGAAGGGAGTATATGAAATGGGATTCAATGCACCATCTAAAATTCAAGAAACAGCTCTTCCTATATTACTTGCTGACCCGTAAGACATAACTTTTTATTTTCTACTGTTTTATATTTTCTCTAATCATTTGAAGATATCACCGGGTTTATTGTAAAAAGTCATTAGGTGACATTTCATAACCTTAAATCACTGAGAAATTTGATGAATTTTTCTCTATGAAACCCGAAAATTGTGAGCTTATAACTAACTATATTTGATATATAATGAGTTTTCATCATTTTAGTGTACTTACTGTTTGTTTGTTTTTTATCGATAAATAGGATCAAAATTTGGCTTAATGACTTTTTGCATTTTTTACACCTACGATATGACTTTTGTTTTTGATATTCTGTTAATGACCAAAACTTTTAGAGATATTGATATTTTTAGCTTTATATTATTAAATTTGGATTGTCTTTCTCTCCATCCTATTTTATTTATTCGGATTGATGCTCCTGTGGCAAATAGCTTTTTTTTTTCTGTGATTGTGTTGAAGAGTGGGTTTACACAGATCTTCAGCACATCACAGACCTTAAACTAATGCCTCAGCCTCTTTACTGTCTGTATATATCCTTCTGAGCTACATTACATTTCCCTGCCATAACATTAAGAATTTTTCAAAAAAATCCTGGACTTTATTTTCTGGTTTCTAGATTTTTTCCTTTAGATATTTTTCCTCAAAAGTTCTAGAACCAGAAGTCTATTCTGGAACATCCTGATGTATTCTAAAACAGTCAAAATCCAAGCTGCTTTTCATAAGGATTGTATTGGTGTGACACCATTATCTCTCAACCCAATTCCCTTCTGTTTCAAACTGAATCCTTCCTCACATATGAAAGATGGAGAGTTACCATACCTTACCCCAGGCTGCTGTGGTACTACACAGAGTTATAGTAGCATTTTTTAATAAAGCGCATTAATTTTATTATATATATTAATTTAAAATAGTTAAGTATTAAATTATATAACCAGCTTATTTATTAATAAATTGTCAAGAATTTTAGTATGTTATATGAATATAAATGAAATCTTATAAATGGTTAGAACCTTTAGTGTTTATACCAGATGTTTCCATGTGACATAAGAAATTGGCCATGAAATCAGCCTTATTTCTGTAGATCCTCCAAATTTTACTGTTTCATCCTTTCTTTCTTTTTTATTTTTATTTCTTTATTATTTATTTTTTTTTTTTACAATTACATCTTTTTTAAACATTTTTTCCAGACCCCAAAACCTTATTGCTCAATCTCAGTCAGGAACAGGAAAAACTGCTGCATTTGTCTTAGCGATGCTATCGAGAATAATTCCTCAGCTCAATTACCCACAGGTGATGCCACTTAAAGAAAAAAAAATGTCAAACTACAGTTTTAAATTATGTAACTTATTTCAAAATATTATTGTAATTAATTTAAAATTAAATCATCAGCCCAAAATGAATATATGATTTTAAAAAAGATTGCTTTCTTTTATCCAATTGCAAATATATTATCTGCGAAATAGAAGTTAAATTCCGATTTGCAGGTTTACTTAATTTCAAGTATTTAAGAAGTAAAGACCTTTTCTTTTCAGTTGTATTCAAATTTTTTGACTTTATTATTTGTTATTTCTAAGTCCTCCGTAAAAGCCTGCTTTACCTCAATCTGTTTTGAATAATTGATTTTTAATCTTCTTAAAAAGTGGTTTATTGGTGAAATATATTTCATTCCCATCAGCCTTATTGGTTTATTATTTTCAATAATGTAACATTGTAATCATCCAAGAAAAATAAAAAATTTAACCCCCTCTCAAAATTTGAGGTTTTGCATTTCATGATACACAGAATATGGAAATCGAATAAAAATTTGTTGTCACGGCTTATCTCCGAGACTACTGGACCGATTTTTTTCATATTTGGAATCAGTCAGAGGTCACCTGAGATTGATCCTCCTACCTTGACATTACTATCTGCCCTTTACTTCCAAGATGACGCCCGAAAAACCTGTCTTGGTATAGACTGTAGCGCCTAAACGAAAGTACTAATTTCAAAAAAACTTGGCTAAAGTCTTCTCAATGACCTCTAATATATCTATATTAATTAATCTATATTATAACTTACTTCAATGAAGAGAAGCTGGAAAAACGTTATGAGCGGTAAAAAAACTACATTCCGAATAATCTCAAGAACTATACAATTTTTTGTTTATGTTGTATATGGTTATTTAAAAGTTTACGAATTTTACTAAAAACCTTCCTAAAATCAAAATCAAACAATTTGGAGCAAAGATATGGTGTTCTAAATATGTTCTACTGCATTGCTTAGAATGAAACCAAAATCTTCTGTTTTGGTTTTTGATTTTTTGAAAGTTTTACATCAACTGTAAGTAGCAATTTTATCTATTTGTTAAGCAAATTACCAATGATAGGAAAGAAAATTATAAAGACCAATGTTAGGAATCCCCTTTTTATTTAATTTCCTTAATGTTACTTGGAAATAATAAACCATTTTGTAATAATTTGCAGCATTTTTTCTTCTAATTCTAACTTGTGATCATGATTGTTTTTCATAATCTTTTTCTGATCCACAAGTACTTATAATTTTTCCTTTTTTGGAGTTGAAATTTGGTCTTGGTTTGTGTTTTTATTATGTTATTCCTATTTAACCATGAAACTATAAAATGGTCCGATTATGTTTCAAATGAGAACCTGATTCTAAAATAAAGGTTTTGGAACAATAAAGACATTATAGAATTTAATAAAGACATTTTTTCTTATCCTCTATCAGATTATTTAGAAAACTGTTGTGAAGCCCATTAATCAAGACAAGGAAACTTGGCAATTACCTTTAAAAGCTTTGATACAGCCCTTTTCGAAAGACTTGATTATACTACCCAGTATTTTTTTGTCGAAAGTTTCAGTTCAACAAAAATTTTACTAACCATCAGTTTCTTATTTATAAGTCATATTAATGTATTTTCGTTGACGGGGTTATGGATGAATGTTTATTCTTAAAAAACGATATGCATTTTTGTTTTAGTCCTATTTTTAAATTATTATTATTTTTTATTTTTTGTTCACAAAAAAATTACAACCTATATTGATAAAATAAAAGAGGTAAAAAAAAAGCAATAAAGGCAGACATTTGTTTGTAAAATGGCATTTCATTTATAAGGATGAAAAAATAATAATCAGGCAGTTTCAGAATTTATTATAACATTTTATAAATAAAATTTTATCAGTTTCTAGAGATAATGGACAACAGATTTTTTTTTTTGTTTTAGGTATTGTGTTTGTCTCCTACCTATGAATTAGCAGTTCAGACTGGCGAAGTGGCTGCTAAGATGGGTTCATTTTGTGATGATATACAAATAAGATTTGCTGTGCGAGGAGAAGATTGTAAGTTGTGAAGTTCTTAGTTTCCAGTATTGGTAAATTAAGTATTTCAATAATACCCCTATTCAAATTAAATTTTTACGACTTACATCTCATTCAAACCTAATTGTTCATAGAATGTTTGTTCAGATTAATATTGATAAGATTTCTTCTTATGTGTCCACGTCTGGCTCAGATGGCAGCGATATCATAATAATAAAAGGATTAACGAACCTGAAAGTTTGATGCCGACACCTCCAATCGCTTATTACACACCTCCCTTCACCACTCGCTATACAAACCCAGTCCCTTCAGGTCGGCTTTAACACAATCTTCCCACCTTCGCTTAGATCTACACCTTGGACGTTTACCATTCGGTACAGCAAATATTATCTTTTTAGGAATTATTCTGTTACTAAGCCCAACAATTTTACAAGTCCATTTGATTCACTGTAATGTAATCACCTCAATTAAATTAAACTGATACAGCTCAAGCAATTCGCCGTATACTGTAACCATCTGAACTCTCTGGTTAACTCATCTTTCTTCGGTTCAAATATTCTATGTAATATTTTATTTTCAAAAAACTTAAGAGATTGCTCATTCCTTAATGTAAGTGGCCATGTTTCGCATCCATGAAGAACCATAGGTAGAATAATGGTTTTATAGATTCTAATTTTTAAATTCCAGGACAGGAAGCGCGAGCTAAGTGGTTTGGTCACAGAAAAATAATAAGCGTTTCCCGCCTTCAGCTTAACCTTAATCTCTTCTTCAATTTTGTTTTTTCTAGTTATCATAGACCCTAGATACCTAAATTTCTCTACGTGTTCAAAGCTAACCATATATTATGTCTTCTCCATGTTTATTTCAAGCCTTAGTTCTTTACCTGCTTTCATTATCATTATCATATTTAGTTCTTAATTTGTATGTTATTCTGCTCTTATTTTTCTTCCTTTTCTTGATTATTCTCTTTTTTCTATCTAGTGCCCAGAGGAACTAAATTAACTGAACATATAGTTATTGGCACACCCGGAAAAGTACTCGATTGGTCATTAAAGTACAAATTCTTCGATATTTCCAAAATAACTGTTTTCGTGCTCGACGAAGCTGATGTTATGATTGCCACTCAAGGACATCAAGACCAAAGTTTTCGTATTAGAAGGTAAACAATTATTTTATGTTGCCTTATCATTATTAATTCCAATTTTGAAAGTAGTCATATTTGATAAGTAAATGACAAAATTATATGAATTCACTTTATATTTTTTGTAATGCCTGAATAATAGTTTTCAATTCACGAATATTCTTTTAACATAAGCATTTTTATGGGGAGAAAATTCATTCTAAATCATAGCATATTACTGTCAAGTGGTATAAATTAGTTCTTTATTTTTTATGTAATGCAAAAAGGCATATCAAAAGGGTTTTAATAAATATGCAGTAAACCAGGTGTAAAATGTATTAAGACCGTGTAATAAACAACACAGTTATAGGACAGACAGATTGTTGCATCGGAAATACCTAATAAAAAGAACCTACCTTTTATAATATCAATAAAAAGATTTAATAAAAGTGAGATATAAGTACCTAACTTATCCTACAACTTCAGTATTTTGTTCAAAACAAAAATTATCTGTGATATGTTCTTTCTTCTAAAACCGACTTTTCATCTCCATTTGTACTTATTCTAATCTTTTAATTTATCTCTCTTTTCTTTTTTCTATTTCAGTTACATTTTGTTTAGTCACACTTAAAGTTTTATAACTTTAAATTGTCTCAAGGTTTATTTTATCTTCTTATTTATTAATTTATCTTTATTGATAGTCTTCATACAACAATTAGTCATGAATCTAAATAATTAGGAAACATAAATAAATATTTTAAAATTTAGTAAAAGAGCTTTATTTTTAAACTTTGTAGATTACTGAATGAAGGAGCTTGTCAGATTATGTTCTTTTCTGCCACTTATGATGATGAGGTAATGGAATTCGCTCGAGCGATTGTGCCTAATCCCATCGTAATAAGGCTAAAGAGAGAAGAAGAATCACTTGATAACATAAAGCAGCATTATGTTCTCTGCGAAACGGAGGATGATAAATATAATGCAATTGCAAATATTTATGGTGGAATAACTGTTGGTCAAGTGATGATTTTCTGTCAGGTATGTATTTCCTTAACATAATTCCATAATTTTAAAATAGTATAAGCAACATATTAACTTTTTTACCTTCTAAAAGTACTCTTTGCGCACATCTTATGAAAATGACAAATTTATAAAGCTTAGCAACTTATTTTAGACATTATACCAGTCAATAAGTAATCAGTATATTGGTTTGAATTTCTAGGGTTCTGTATTGACTTACCCAGCATAAAAAGAGAGCTTGGGTATCCTTCTACTAAACTGCCATAAATAAACTTAAATTCTCTCAAATTGAAACAAACTTTATTCTCGTCTTTTAAAAATTATTGGCTAACCCATCTAAGAACTTAAATTACATTAATTTATAGCTAATTATTAAATTATAAACAATAAATGTTAACTTGTATCAACTTTACAAACATTTGGAATGAGGTGTAATATATAACTTAGAAATTGAATATTTTTGTTACTAATTAGAACTAAATATGTTTGTTATTACTGATTAGAACTAATAGTAATTAATTGTTACCCTTTCCTGTAACTTTACTTTTCTTGGTTTCTATTTTCTATCTTTGAAATCCTGTTAGATGAACTATCATCATATGTTTGCAAACCTCAGTAGGAGTAATTGCATAGCACTTCCAATGTCCTGCCATGTATCTTTGAATTTATTTTGTTTTATTTTTTATTTATATAAATTTGAATTTATAGGATTCCACAATAAAGGATATTTTTCATTTAGTTTGAAAAACAGAAATAATTTCTCGTTCATCCACTCCATTATACTATGTTACAGACAAGTTACATGACTGACTCTAGCCTGTTCACAAACCTCCTTCTCTCCTCTTTGAATTTGGACAAAAACCGCCATCAGAGCACTCCATTACATTCACGCACCGCTACATGCTCAAAGGGCAGAACGCATTAACACAGGGACGTGAAGCGTTGTAAGCTCACGAACATAGTAAATACCCATCTTGACAGGTTGATACCCTGTTTGGTAGACAAGCAGCGTAACGGGGCGGGGTGGCCGAATGGGCTAAAGCGTGTGCACTGCACTGCGAGTTGCCTGGCTGAGAAGATTTGAAAAGTATGAGTTCGCATCCCGGTGCCGGAGGAGATTTTAAATTCCCCGCCCTCACCCTCCGGCCCGGGAAAATCCCGTATAGCCTAAAAAGGCGAGGTAGGGAAGAACAAAAAAAAAAAAAAAATGGTGGACAAGCAGCAGTTTATGATATGTTATCACAAAAAGGTAAATTAAATATTAATTCTAAATAGTGTGGTACCTTTCATAGGAGACTTATCCTTTATTGATTCGCTGACTTGCCTCTGTCTTAGATTTTTTATTGTGAAAGGAACCTTCATTTCTTGCATTCCTCTGTACAACAAATTTTGTTCAAGCTTTATGGTGATCTCAGTCTATTACTAGTTATAAACTTGAGATCAGATTTTATATTAATGAAGTTGATTTACTTTTTAATTCATGTTTTATACTTTTAGTGTTCAAATTTATTCCTGCTGACACACATATGAGAAAAAGTAGTAATTTATATAACCCAACTATATTTTTTTTAAATTCTATACTTATTTTTTATAAATTATTTAATTAAATAATGAAAATACTAACTTTAGTTTAGGGTAGTTTTCTGATGATGACCCATATGTGTGGATCGAAATGTCGGTTAAATCATTAAACAAATTTTTGATTGCGAATCCTGACAATTTTGTTTATCATTTAAAAACTGAACATTACTTAATAATAAAAAAAACAGTAAATTATTTTTTAATTTAATAGTTCTCAAATAACTTGAATTAAGGAAGTAATATAATGTTGAAATGATAAAGCTAATTTTTTTGTTTTTATTTCTGATTTTTTTTTATTGTTGACATACTTGTTTTTCTAATTAAAAATTATTGCTGATTACTGCAGACGAGACGGATTGCTGCTTGGCTTTGTGAAAAGATGACAAGAGATGGGCATGCTGTTGCATTGCTTTCTGGGGACCTGACTGTTGAAAGTAGAATACAAGTTCTTGATAGGTTCAGAGAAGGAAAAGAAAAGGTGCTCATAACAACTAACGTCTTAGCAAGAGGTAATTTCAGATTTTTATATTATTCCCTACCTTACTATTTCTGACCTACTGGGAAGATCATTCTAGAGAAATAATTAAACTTATTCAAACCTGAGTGGGAAGGTTGAGATTTATTATGTGGGTCCGTCTCAAAATTAATTTCAGCTTACCCTCGCCGCATTCAAACTGGCACCACTAGAAACAAGAATGCTACAGCAAACAACACTCTTAACACACTCAGCTATCATGGCCTCTCTTGCCTTTGGCAAGGATATCAGGAAAATCAGGATATTTGAAATACATAGTTATGGAAAGTATTACGATCATAAAAAATTTTGAATCCGACTTTTCAATAAAAATAAACTCCAAGACCAATAGTTTATAAATAAATAAAGTCCAAATAATTAAGCCTCACAAAATGTTACTGGAACTTTTTCACTAAAATTGGCATACCTGAAGTAGTGGGTAATTTCATTTTTTATAACTTTTTACTTTTTTCTCAAAAACGTCTTTAACAATGATTAAACTCTTTACATCTTTATAAAATTAAGTAATCAATCTTTAATATGAGGAAGGTATTAACCTCTTTGAAGGATAAGACAGATCTTTTAAAG